CCGGACAGATAAACAGGAACCAACCGAGACAGATGGACAGGAACAGACCCGGACAGATAGACAGGAATAGACCCGGACAGATAGACAGGAAAAAGAAAAGACAGATAGACAGGAATAAACCATTAGACAGATGGATGGCTCAGACACATGAAATTTATAGATGTGAACTGATTATAGATAGATAGATAAACAAACAGATACATATGAACAGTTTTTGCACACTTTTTGTGCGGAATAGAAAAACACCCCAAAATCAATGAAAATCAAATAATTCATATTAAAATATATATATATATATATATATATATATATATATAATATATATATATATACACAAATATTTATATATATTTATATATATATATATATATATATTTCAAAATCAAATTTATTTGTATGTATTATGCAAACTATGAAATTTTAACATTCCAACTGGTGGTTTTTTTTTTTGATAACAAATATCAGATTCAGGACGTAGGCGATCATATGAGCCTCCCCATCTTTCTGTCTTTTGTAGCTGTTAATAAGTTTTGTGTTTTTGTTATTTCTACCACACGCTGTCTTACAATCCATTTGCTCAGGCTCATCAAGTATGTTACGTGATGCTTTCCTCTGTCCCTCAAACTACCCTGTGAGTATCAGCATTTCCAAGTCCTCCTTCCTCATTACTTGGCCTGAAAAGTTCAGTTGCCTTTTCTTGATGTTAAGTATAAGTTACCTTTTCGTTTCCATTTTCGCCAAAACTTCGTTTTCGCTCACATGTTTAGTTCATGCATCCACAGCATCCTTCTGTCGAACCACATTTCTGTTAGTTTAAATGTCTTCTTCATCTTTATGGAGATTGTTCTGCATTTTGTCACACAAGGGAAAGATATCCATAATTAATTTCAACTCATTTCTTTTTTTTTCTAACGAAATTTTCCTGTCTCTTAATACTCTGCTTAGCTTTTGGAATGTATCTTTGGCTATCCCAAAACGTCTTTGGGTCTTAATATCGCACTTTCTTTCTTCTGTTAGAGTACTTCTCAAATATTTAAATTTCTGTACCTGCTTGATTTTATTATCCCGTACCTGTTATTTGCATTTTTGGTTCATCGTTTTGCTGATAATCATGCATTATGTATTCTTGCAGTTTATACTTAGTCCTTTCTTCTCGCTTTCCTTCTCTATCTTCTCTGAGAGCTTTTGTAGTTTCCTTTCCATATTTGTAATCATTACTGTGTGATCTGCGTATCTTATGTTGTTAAAATTGTATCTGCTATATTGAATCATGGTAGGATTCTAATTATTTCAGAATTGCTTCGCTGTGCAGGTTGAATACATCCAGCGAGAAGACATATCCTTGTCTTACGCCCCTTTCAAATTTTGTATATCTGCTGAACTCATTTTCCGTCCGTATGCAGGCTGTTTGTTGCCAGTATAGATTCTTGGTTATTATAATATCTTTGCCGAATATGTCAAGTTTGCTGCGAAGTTCTAGCAGATTTTTCTGGCATATTTTATCGAACGCTTTTGCGTAATCTATAAAACAAAAGTATACGTTCTTCCGCAGATTCCATCAAGTAAACAAGCCGGTTCTAAAATGTAGTTGTTCTGTTAATCTTGAAGTCACTTGATTTTCATTTTAATCATTTCGATTCTTTCCAATGTCTTCTCCAACTATGCTATTTCTTCGAATCTTGGCTGTAGCGTACATATATTTATAAAAAAATTCCACCTTTGCGTTGCGACTGCACGCTCCAAAAGTTTGTATCCGTTAACAATAACACATTAAGAAAGAAAAGCGTATTTCGATTCGCATTTAATTTTTTCGTCTCGGATGCTAGCTGGATTTTACTAAAAACAAAATAATTTCCATGCATGAGGATGACTGAATGTACAGTCGAAAGTACTTGCGTATTAAAAAAAAGACCTTATACAGCACATAGATATTAAAAACAAGGATCATAACATTCATCGAGTGATTTGTAAGCTAAAGCAACTTTACAATTTTGTTTGCGAAAAGATTTCGCCATTTTATATCATTAACTTTACTAATCTATTTTTGTATAAATGATTCATTGTAATATAAATTGAACTCCAAGACATATTTTTGATATATATATATATATATATATATATATATATATATATATATATATACCCCAACTAAATGTCCATGAAATTTAAATTTGCTGTTAAAGTATATTGTTCATCCCAACATTCATATTCCATTCCGTCTTCAAAGTTCATTCAAGAACTAATCAAGAGAACTATGATATGTTTATAAGACAGGGATCATTAGAGAAAACTAGATTTGGAGCTCACAAAATTCTTTCATCATCAAGGTTTTTTAGATCGAAAGGGATCAATTAGAAAAATATCAGTTCAATCAATAAGACTTTTGGCACGTGAGAGAAGAATTTCACTTACGACGATCCAAAGAGCAGTAGAAAAGGACTTGAAAATGAAATCGTACGTGAAACCTGTAAGGCATCTTGTTACTCGAGGACAGAAAAGAAGATTATAGAGGGTGAGGATCATGTTGAATAAATTGGAAAATAATCCTGGAATTATATATATATATATATATATATATATATATATATATATATATTATATATACATAACTTTATTTCAATCCTTCATTTTTTCCGATCTTTAGCTAAGAATAATGAACATATTTAAATTGTTTTTCGGTCCTAGATGGTTCAAATCTCTCGATTCTTGTGTTAAGCTTGGAGAGAAATTATATATTCTTATTGCTCAAAGTAGAGCCCAATAGTGTTATAAAAACTCGGAAAATTCCAGTAAGATAACTTTAATTATTTCTAAGATACAACGCTTGAAAGCTTAATCTAACAATTGGACAATTGGTTTAGCTGCAAATGAATCTAATTTAGACATATTCAATCTTCCTGATAAACACAAAATAATTCTGTTAGTTCTTTAGTGCGTACGATACACTACATTTGAGAACCAATAGGCCGTTCCAGTTTGATTGTAAGGCTAGGTTAAAGAAATCATATATCGTACGTGTTATTTGGTTTTAAGTGAATGAAAGAAAAGAAAAAAAATAAAGAAAGAATGAATGACTGACTGAAATTCAGGAAATTAAAGTAAGTGTGAATCAACGACAGAAATAAAGAATGACTGAATGAATAATAAAAAGCTTGAACCAATGAAAGAAGGATTGAAATAAAAGAATGAAAATGAAAAGAATGACGAAATAACTTAAAGAATGTGTGAAAAAATAAAAAATAAAAGAAAGAATGAAAAAGAAATTAATAATGACTGAATGAATTAAAAAAGAGTGAAAAAAAGAAAGAAAATTGAATAAAAAAAATAGCAAGAATGAGTGAATAAACAAAAGAAAGAATGAAAAAAGAAAGGAGTGAAGCAAAGAAAATGAAAAAAGAAATTTTATTATCAATGAGTATATTATATTTAACAAGAAAACTGACGTTACATCTCTCTGACCATAGCTCAATTAGGTCTCATTTAAATACACATGGAGACCTACTAAATTATGTCTGTAACATACCCGTTGATAATACAAATATAATAGCATCATCCACATGTACAAAAAGACTAAAAAAAAAAACTGGAGGCATTATTAATGAAAAAGAAATACCCACCTCTCAATAATATCAATTATGAACAGGGTCACAGTGTGCTGACCGTGTTTGGATAATAAAGCATTTTTATAACTCTAGATACACGCATAAAACAATGCATATATGCAGTTAAACGTAAAATAAAAACGAATCCTTGGTAAAATGCTAAAAGCATAGACGAAAGCCCTTGGAAAACATTCGGAATTTTTTTACATAAGTTATGTCCTGAAAGAAAATAGAATTATTCGAACAGGTGAGAAATTATATAAAAACAACTCCTTGTTAGTTGTACAATAAAGTTCACCCTGTGTATGGCCCGAGGTCCACTTGAGGTACAAGGTTATGCTAAGAGGCAACTTTGTACGGAAAGAAGGGGAAGATAACGTTTAGCCGTAGACATGAACAGGTCAAGATTATAGTGATTAAGGGAAAATCCTCTTGGGAGTCGGTTCCACAGAGCAGTGATAAGCAGGAACAAAAAGCTGTTTGAGTGGAACTTATTTCATAAGGATGGAATAGGGAGGGGACTCTTGGTAATTTGCTACAATGGAAGTGTTCTGTCGGATGCTTACCAATAAAGTGAAAACTGGCGGCACCATGGAATGTAGAACGTTCGAGCACTTTCCGTACAAGTAACGTTAGAGCAGCGAAGGGATTTTTACATTTGACCTGTGAGAGAGAGTTTGGAGGGTGGAAAATAATTCGTCACCTACAAGGAGTCGGAGACGCTTTTGGACTCTATCAACGCTGGGGAGTGCGTTCTGTTGTAGTTCTTCCAAGCACCTGATTTTCGGCCTCTATCTCATTCTTTTTTTTTTTTTTTTATATATATATATATATATATATATATATATATATATATATATATATATATATATATATAAATATCCATATGCAGAGACTGTTTCGCTGTATCACAGCTCATCAGTGTGGCTAGATGTTCGGTTGCCTCTAGCTAGGATCGAAACCCAACTGAATTGGTTTTTAGTCAGGGATTCTACCACTAAACAGTTGGCACACGGCAGCGATGAAGGTGAATTTAAGCGTATTTATTTTTAGACTGACTGAGAGAACAAGATTCGATTTACCGAAGAGTCTTGCATTATTAGCCGTCATAGTCACTGTTTACAAACCCACACTTCCTCCCCAGAGAGCTCAACTGAACCAAATTTTTCAGGAGCACATGTATATATATATATACGCTTTTATGGTTAAATAATTTGGACGTATTATGTCTATTAATTTTATTTTTAATCCTCTCAAGTCCACGAATTAATTTCTCACTGCCTGCAGATAATTTATTAAGAAAAATTCTAAAATTTTCTTTCAAATAATTTTTATTTTCTCAAGTACTTTTAATTTCATCTGAGACCATCTTCAGGGGTTGAATATCTATGGATGTGTTATGCTTTAACACCATATATTCAAAATATTATTTACCTCTATGCAAGGGACGTAACTAATGTGATTTGTTTTAAAAGTTATTTTTTTAATTGAAGTATTTTAATTTAGTACTTTTTATATAACACTTTGCTACTACAAATGTTGAAGTAATTTGGTGCTACAATCGGAGTTGACTTGATTTATTTTTGGCCGCAATTCTCTTATAAAAAAAGGTTCCAGATTTTTAAGTTTTTGCTTATTGTCTTAAAGGAGCACTGATATATTTTCGACTAATATCTGTCTAAACTGTGAATGTAGACGTGAGTAAATTTTAAAATTAAATGTTCTTGAAAATTTTTAATATGATCGTTCAAACCTGGAAGGAAAGCCTTCTTGTCATCATCGTTAAAATTAAACATATATATTTTTTATTTATCTCCCAAAACTAACATTTAATTTGATATACGATATTGGTCTTGCTAGTTGACGTAGAAGTGTTGTCATGGATGAGTACGTTGGTTGTATTAAAGTGAGTATAGTATATAAGTAGTTTTATTATTTTTTACTTGTCAAACTTACAACAGAAAACATGGGAGAAACACGTTCTCTTGAAAAAAAAAAACAAAAAAACATGGACTGAATAATGATTCTTTCTCATCATCATTAGACATCTTGATAAATACGAACAAGTAGAACATTTTTAAAGTGTTTTTAAACCTCAGTAGTGGAAACATTTACACACATCTAAAACGCATTTACACTTTATATTTCCATATCGTAAATATCTAAACACATGATCTGGTCTGTATAGATAGATGTAAATACTTTTTTTGGAAATACCTTGTTAATGAAGAAAAAACATGTCCGATTATTTTTGTATTCTCGCAAGAATTGCCTATGAATTGTGGCAATCCGTACAATATCAGACGGCATCGTCAAAGAAACAAATTGAAACTTGCTGGTTCACCCACAAATTGACGATACCTTTAAATGTCTAAATTTTCCCCTACATATATATATATATATATATATATATAATATATATATATATATATATATATATATATATAAGATATATATATGCAATTCCAAATCATATAAAGAAAGACACATTGTCTGTTCCTGATTCTTTCGTTCGCTAATACTATTTAGATTATTTTAAAAATGATCCCTTCTGTACCAAAAGAAGTGATCCGGGTATGATGTGCTTGGCTCATTCAGTAGACATGTTGGATCTTCTTGGAGCGATATTGGAAGAAGTATATTTAAAACAAGGTCGTTGTATGACATTTACTATCACATGACTCTTTTTTCTTTCTCTGTCGCTTTCTTTCTCTACGCATTCTTTCTATCTTTATATCGTACACTTATTTTGAATATCTTTTTTTTTTTTTTTTTTTTTTTTTTTTTTTTCTTTTAAATCTTTATTTCTCTTGCTATATTTCCCTCTTCTCCTTTTATTCTCCTGCTTTTCTTTTTTCATCTATGCGGGTTTCTTATATTTTTTTTATTTATATATATATATATATATATATATATATATATATATATATATATATATATATTATAAACTATGTGTGTAAATAACGTATTGTATAGAATGCTGAGATATTTTTAGAATGTCTAGCTTTTTTGTTCAAAAGTACAAGATAAACTGATTTCTTTCTCACCTTATATGACTTCGTAAGATATTTTAATAGAAATTCTAGTTATTATGTTGAACGGTTAGCATTTTTCTCAAAGTATAATATAATATAATAGAATAAATTAAGAAAAAAAAACATATAATATTACCAGTTTATTACTTCAGACGTTAGGATTAGTGGAGCCTTCTATTTGAAATAGAATCTCTATTTTATTTTTGTTTTAAACAGTATGCCTATCGGCCTCCGAATTCCAGAATTATTAATAAAGAAAACGTTTTCTCCGGTAGGGATCGAACTTGCGTTCGTTTTTGTAGTTTCATTACCTATCTGAGAGCACATTTTCTAGATTTAAATTTTCTCGAATGCGCAGGCCAAAAGACGTCAGACATACTGTTTAAAACAAAAATAAAAATGAGGCGTCTATTCCAAATACGAGCATCTACTAACAATAACTTTTGACGTCATAAAATTATCGAATTAAAATAAAATGCATTAATTATTTGGGGGAAAAAAAGTGATTCATTGACTGACTCGTTTTTTTTCTTCGTCAGTTATTTAAACTAGAAAATATTTTTAGATTGCAAGAATTATTTCTTGAGAGGCAAATGTTAAGTGATTCAAGTCTTACTAGTTAACCCATAGCTGAAGGAGAAGAGGTGGTTTCACGTCTTTCCCGAGGCTATTTGCGCGTAACTGGATATAACTCGGCCCTCCGATTAACAGTTCCGAGCCGTTATCCATTACACTATCCGCACAGTCAAGCTTACAGCACTTGTTATTTCCAAGCTGTCACCCATCAAAGTACTGACCTAAAGCGACGTTGCTTAACCTCGGTGACCGTACGAGATCCTATGTTTCAACGTGATGTAACCGTAAGCCAAACCGCCCGCACATCCAAAAATAGCACTTGGTTTCATTTTAATATTTTATGACCTACGTTATGCTCCATCAAAATACTGACCTGACATCCAAGTCGACGTTGTTTCAACAAAATACTCGGTGACCGGTACAAGAGATCCTATGTTTCAACGTGATATCACCGTAAGTAAAACTGCCGCACATCCAAGCTTACAGCATTGGTATTTCAAGCTGTCACCCATCAAAATATTGCCACCACCTGAGTCGACGTTGTTAACCTCGGTGACCGTACGAGATCCTAATTTCAACGTGATATACCGTAAACCAAACCGCCCACATTTTAAAAATGCAAGTTGGTTTCCTTGATATGTCAGGAATAATGTCCAAGTACTTTTTTTTCAAAGTGATTCGGCCGTAAACCGAAGTATGTGCGTGTGTATGTTCTGTGCGTCCATGCATATGTGAGTGTGAAATCGAAAATAACTGAAAAAATAATAGAAAAAAGAAAAAAATAACATTTTATTAACAAACTGTAGAGTTTTTTTTGGTTTTGTTTTTAACTCTATTTCCTAATTTGTCTTAATTATTAAATAACGTGGTACATTTTTTTCTGAAATCAGGTAGTAACTGCGTAAAATACATTCAGATATTAACGGACTAACAATGAAAATTTAAACAGATATATAGTTCCGACAATTCCCTGTGTACCAAGCATGTCTAGAGGCATTCCGACTTCCATTCTCTTCAGAGGCTGACCAGAAGATTCTTTCGTTGCCGAGCAGCATGGGAAATTGTACGTGTTCATATATTATTTATATATTATATCAGAAAATGAGGGAAAGCTTTCTGGAGCAGCGGTTTATCATTAAGTTTTGTGTGAAGGTTGATAAAAGTCTAAGAATGAAACGCTAGCCCTATTTAAAATAGTTCATGGAGAAACAGGCCATGAGGAAATCGAGTCTTTTTAGAAGGGATACGGTGGGTTCAAGGGAGAGTAAGAAGAGGATGAAAGAAGGCTGCCCAAGAATACGAGGGACAGATGCAAGTGTGGACAGCGTGAGAAACTTCTTGCATTCAGATCGAAGATTACGTGTATGAGTGACAGTAGGAAAATTGAATATGAATTGCGTAATAGTGTGGCACATCTAGACAGAATGGTTTGGAATGGGCAAAAATGGCACCATGGGAGTTCTGGCAATGGCTACTTTTACTGGGTGGAAACCAGGGAGGGTGCGAGCAATAATTGTGCAATACTGGATGAGAACTAGACAAGAAAAATAGATAGACAGAAGAATTATAATAAATTTCAAAGTAAACAAAATAAAGAAAGTTCAAAGATTCCATGAAGCCTCACAGGATCGACAAACACCTGATAACGACCGGAGAGCGCAATGCCCGAAGCGTCGTGATGACAATAGTAAAAAAAAACCCGGGCAAAATATTTCACGAAAATAATTTTATAAAAAGATCTTTGTGGCGAATACAAAAGAGTTACTACTATTTACACACACACACACACACACACATATTTTACACACATATATATATATATATATATATATATATATATATATCTATATATACTAGCAGTAGAGCCCGGGGATATAACAGGGAAGAGATAGATAGATCAAGTATCGACCATCATAAAGACTGAAAAATAAAATTGACAAAGATTATTGTTTAAGGTTGACGGACACGCATGTCTTAATTAGTTTTTTTTTTTTTTTTACGAATTGGTCAAACCCAAACTCAAACAAAAACATTGTTTACAATCGTTATGAGTCTATCGATTGAATAGAATTTTATTCTAAACAGTTGTCTTGTAAATTGGATTTTTAAAGCATTCTGAATGTAAAAATAAAGAAAAAAGTGTGCAAGACAATAAGAAACACTACCTGCCAAAAAAAAGTGAAATTTTGTTGAAAAAAAGTGAAATTTTGTTGAATGTAAGAAATCCGATCCCATATATAAACCAACACAGACACAAACAACTTGGGTTTTATAAGTATAATAATATGAGTTGTCCCCCTTTCATTCTGGCGCCAGAATCGTGTTTTCAAATTGATTTCGTGCAAAAACAATAGGGTTTTTCAAATTTATGGCGCTGTCAGAACCACCGCAAGGTAATTTTACGTAGTCCTGTGAAGTTTTGTTGAAATCGGTTGAAACATGTAGGAAATCCGATCCAATATATAAACGTACAGACACACTATCTGCGTTTTATAATAATATATTTTTAAAATGTATTGCTCAATATAATAGACAGTGAACGTCTATTGTTTTTATCATGAGCCGTTCTAAACTCTGTATATCGTTATCGTCGCATACCAATCTTTTTATGTCAACATAACAGAATATCACCTTTGATGGTGAATATCTTTGTTTAAATGTCCATATAACCATACTGAAGATGGCTCATGTGAGCCGAAAGCTTAGATCAAAGAACAGCATAAAAAAGTATCGAAATTTTGGGCAATTTTTGCTTTATTTTCACCCGAAATTAAAGCAAATATACGGAGTTTAGAACGGTTCATGATCAAACATAATAGACATTCATTGTCTGTTATATTATACAATATATGTTTAAATAACTATCTGCTGTCCGAATACACTAAATTATACATCACACACACACACACACACACACATATATATATATATATATATATATATATATATAAAGAAATATTGTTTGAAGGTGTGCTATATTTATGGGATAAAGTGCTCAATATCAGTGATAGAGCGTTTTTTAAATATAAATATAAAATTGAAATTTTTTTTTGAACTTCCTTTACAACAGCTGTTTCAAGATTTTTTCGTCAAATATTTGTTTTCCCCTTCCACGAGGAAATGTTTTCTCAATGCCGAGTTTATCGTATTTTCTCCATTGAAGAAATCCAAATATAATCCCTTTTTTTTGCATAAGCGGGTTCAGGATCATTGTCCGACCTATTGACGAAACCTTGCTCAACGGCAAAGCTTCGCCTGAGTTCCTCTTATGCCAGATCAGAAAAGTTCGACAGAAAGTTTTAATTCAGATACTACTTGTCGACTATTTCAACTTCAATTGCAGTTAATCCATTGAATATCCATATTTCCTCGGCATATATATATATATATATATTTATATATATATATATATATATATATATATATATATATATATATGTTTGTGTGTGTGTGTGTGTGTGTGTGTGTGTGTGTGATCAGTGGTGCATTATGGTAATCTATTCTTTTGTTTTACAGGGTGGCAGAATTTTGCCTATTTTTTTATTTATTTGTTTATTAAATTATTTTAAGTGTTTTCATTTTTCAATTTGTATTATTCATTCATTTCTTTTTTTTATGTTTTATGAACGTAGCACATACAGTTGAATGGTTATGATATACTCCTTTTAATTCAAAAATAAAAATTTTCTTCAAAAGTCACATGTGATTCATTATATATATATATATATATATATATATATATATATATATATATATATATATATATATATATATACTGAAGAAAAATAAAAATATATATATTTAACGTTATTTTTATCCTTCATATACTTCCAACAGAGCTTTCCTTCAGTTTAGTTTGAACACCAAACATTTTCATTTATGATCGATAACTTCCCGATTTTTCTGTTAAGGTTGGAGAGTAGTTATAAATTATTAATAGAAGCAGAGTCCAGCTGATTCATAGAAACCTCGTTGAATTCCAGTAAGATATCTTTAATCATTTCTAAGATACAACAGTTCAAATCTTAATCTAACAACTGGTGAAACTTTTGCTATATGATTTGAAGAATTTTGCTCTTAACACTAGTGTATATATATATATATATATATATATATATATATGTATATAACGCTGAGAGGTTTATGGACGAATCGGTAAAGTCTTGTCCTAGTATTTTTATTTGACATTTTATTTTTGTTTGATTGTCTTTGCATTGCGTTTAATTTATAGATTTATTTTACTTTCGCATTTTAATTATTTCTTCCAGATGTTTTCATTTATCGATTCATTCATTTCCTCATTCATTTCTACGTATATAAATATATACATTGTAACCCGGATAAAAGAGACCCGGATATAAGAGAAACCCGGATATAAGAGAGAAAATTTTCTGGTCCCAAATTAGAGCCTGTATTAATGTATATGTTTATTAGATCCAAAATTTATATATAAGAGACTTCTTCTCCGGTCCCGACAACTCTCTTATATCCGGGTTACACTGTAATTATATATTCAACATATATTTATTTATAGATCTATTATGTACAGTATTTCATTACACACACACGCACATACACACACACACACACACATATATATATATATATATATATATATATATATATATACCGACTTAATATCAAATTGCGTATACTTTATTTCGTATATTTTATTCGGTTCTTAAATTCCCTATATTGTTTTCGTTTCATCTCTCATCCTTTGTTTAGGATTAAAAAGATCTCTGGAAAGTTAATTATTGCTGTTTTTTCGTTTATGTTTCGTGATGTTGTAAGGCGGTTCACTTTTGTTCTGCCTTTTTATTTTGTTGTGCTTTAATTTTTGCTTTTAAGATTCAACATATATCTTGCGTATGTTACACTATTTAATTGTTTTTCTCTTTTTAAATAACAACTCATGCGCGTAACTTCTCCGTTTACATGGATATTCTATTATGCCTATAGAGTTTTCCCTATAGATTTTGTCTGTGATTTTACGAAAGCCCTGTATATTATATTTCTTTGTAGGCATTTATTGTTTAGTGGTCATTCAGTCACACTTCGCAAGTATAATACGCTATTTGTTTTTTGTTAAGATGTAATATATAATTAGATTAACATAAACGAGAATATTTTGATAAGTAAATAACGTTCATGAAAATATCTGTAGAAAATAATATCCGATAACGCATTTCGCCTATCAGATGGATAATGAAAAAATGTTTTTATCTGCATTTATCTGTTTTAAAAAATTAAATTTTACAGAACTATTTTTCTAAAGCTATGTCAT